GGGGATCTTTAAACTTGGCATCACTGAGCATTATAATAAAGTTATTATTACCGCCAACCAATGCACTTTCACAGAACACTCATGCCTCCTCCACTTACCTGCATTTGGCGGCTCGCGGGTGTCCCAGATAAGAACGCGTCCGTCGTCAGATGAGCTGGCAAACACATTGTCATTGACCGGACTGACAGACAAGCTGTACACGGCATCAATATGCAGGAACACGTTCAGAGTTTCTCTTCTGTAGAAACAACAATCACACAAAAGTTAATTGTTTTTTTAGTTTAAACGCAAGTACATTCGCCAGCAGTTCAATCACAAGAAAGCTTTTTATAACGGCTGCGAGAACATCAAACTCTTTCTACAGTAAGGTGTATTATATGTGATGTTTCACCCACCTCTCCACATCGTGAAGAATCACCTGTTCATCATTTCCTGAAACAGCAAACAAACACTTTGATTCACAATTTGAAGGAATTGAAGTTCAAAGATATAAATGCGTTTATCTTCAACCTTAGAGTTAAGATGCAAAACCAGCCAGGCCTTCAGGGGTTGTTTAAAATGGTGTGTGGTTAGTTAATTATCTATCAACTAACAACTAAATATTTATACAGCATCATCAATATTTTATCCTCTTGACTAATTTGCATGCCAGCTTGACAGTGGTCAGTAAGCAGCATTCACCACATGCCTCCAGAACAACATAAATCAGCAACTCCAGCATCTTCCCATCCATAATTTGTACCAAACACCACAAATGTGGAATGAAGTAACTACAACATCTCTCCAACCACTTAACACACAGAAAACAATCAATTAAACATTTGTCTAATAGATTATTTTGCTTTCTGATTATATAAAAATAAAGCTACTTTCTGTCTTATTTTCATGCATATATGTATATTTTGTATATTTATTTCATTGCTCGACACCTGCAGTGTCTGTAATGTCAGTTTTGTTATGTTTGTTCACTGCTGCATCCTCTAGTGCATCAAAGTTTTCCCATTTAATCAGATCTATCTTATACCTACACGCCTCAGAGTGACAAGCCACAAAAAGGCCACACAGATGTAGTTTTTCTTACCACCAGAGAAGACTTTCTTGTTGGTACTGTCAAAGGCCAGGCAGAAGATGTTGGACAGGTGCTCGCCCTTCAGTTTCACAGGCTTGGACCGAGCGTGGATGGCTTTCTCCATGTGCCACAGGAGCACCCGGCGGTCATCTCCTCCTGAAGACAGGGCAAAGACGGATTAACACCACCAACTAACAAAAATGCACAGAATAGTCTAAAGCAGCGGTTTCCAAACTTTCTGACTTGAGACACTTTAAAGTGAAGAAATTGTCTACTTGAAACCCTGATTCATAGGTTGCATACGTCTGCAGCACGAGTCACAACAGTTCACCAAAACAGCTTCTCACATCCATTAATTTTAATGCATTTTTAGAGGCCTGAAGCTCTTCTGTAATTCACAACACAAGGGAAAGATTTAGAGCTAATGGTTAGCTGGTTAATCACTTAGTGGATCAAAAGACAGTTTTTCCAGCAGCTATTTTGATGTCGTTGTTCCTGCTTTTCCAATGTGATGATTTGCTTTGCGGTTTCTCCATCAGTGTAAAGGGAATATCCATGAGTTAAAGATTACTGGTTAGAGAAAACAATACATTAGAAGACGTCACCGTAGACCGTGATGGATGGATTTACATAATTCATGAACATTTCACTCAATACATGATAACGGATTAATCAGCTACCATTTAATCTACGTTAGTCAGTTGCAGCCTTACACAATATAGTCTGTAAATAAGGTATTTTGCAGGTGGCATTCAATACACCTATACAAGAGCAAAATTAAAACACCACTGTGTGATGCATATGGTGCAAAATCTAGATCAGGAGGTCATTTTAATAGTCTACCAGTTAATAACTGTACTCAAATGGACAGGGACAGTGGAGTGGACAGTTACTGAGGAGCATCTGGATAGTTTTAACCTCCCTGGTCAGGTGAAGTCATGCTCATATTGTGGACTTTAAGTGAAATGCAGGTTTACTGTGCAAAGTAAACATCGTTCAGCAGACCAAAAAATGGCAAAGCCTCAGGCTGTAACACAAGGCCAGGTGATGGTTTTTAATCCTCTCTGGACACAAACACCTTTGTGTTTTCAGGAGGTAGCCATTAAACCCAACAGAGATTTTTAAAACAACGTGCACAGAAGCCACAGGGATGATCTTATGGACTGACATATGGGACCGGTGCGAGGCTGCTCTCCTCTGAGCTGCTTGCTGTTCGGCTTGACGTTAGCTCGCTCCTGCTAGCTCGATAGGCTAGCAGGAGCGAGCTAGGCTAACTCAGCTAGCCTCCGGGAGGGTTTCAGCTGACTGCCTGGCTAGTTAGCGCTAGCATGCTAACACATTAAAACAGTCTCAGCCAAAAAAAAGAGGAGGAGGAGGAGGGGGCATTTGTCAACTTACCAGACACGAGCCATTCTCCGCCGTTGTTGGAGAACTCAATGGCGTTGACACAGCCGAAGTGTCCGAGCATGTCCTTCTTGTAGAGGCTGGTGCAGCCTGCCAGCCTGCGTCTCTGAAATTCCTCCTTCATGAGCGGCTGCCCGGTCAGCTTTCTGCGGGACAGAAAGCCCACTGAGGAGCGCATACCGCAGCCCTTCAGCTCCTTCATTTTGTACCATGCGATATATATAAAAGAACAAATAAAACAAACACGGCCCCCGCTTTGCCCCTTTTTTTTTTTTTGTTTTTCACCGCTGCAGCCTCGACATCTGTTCGTGTTTCCTCGGTTGAAGAAGTGGCACCACGGGTGTTGCTGCTCTGCTTGGGTCTACATTATGGTGGATACCCCGTTTGCCTTGCCTGCTGATGTCGACGTTGTTTTGTACCTCCTCTGTCTTCTCGGTAGTCCCAGCAGCAGCTTCCTGCTCCGGTGGAGGATCTCTCTCTCTCCCCCTGTCTGTCACTCAGCATCAACCAGCCCTGGACTCTCCACTCACTCCTCTTCACTCACAGCCACAAAAGCTCCCATTTAATGATGATCTTGTGCCAAGGAGTTTCTACCAGGAGTAGTAAATCATTTCTATTTATAGGTTGGTGTAAAAACTGGAAGTGGTGAAAAGTGAGGACATTTACTCAAGTAGTGTATTTAGCAGTTTTGAGGTATTTTGTATGGTTTGGTTGTTGTATTTTTAATGGTGAATACTTCTGCTTCACTACATTTTCAGAGGGAAGTATTGAACTTTATAGTCCACTGCATTTATTTAATACCTTCATATAGGCGACTATGTACAGATTCATATTATTATTATCCCCAACTTGTATTCAGAGGCACACAAATAAAAAAAAACACAAGTACAGACAAAACAAAAGTCCCAAAACCATGCCAAAACACAACAATGATTCCTATACATATAATATATACTACATTTATTGTGTAATATGCTTAAATAGGATGCTAAAAATGCATAGAAATGACATGTAAATGAATCGTTACTGCACAAGGAACAAAGGAGTTTTTACTATGCTATTCAGAATATGATCAACTAATTAAATATGTTATAGGTTATCAATAAAGAGTACATAAAGTAATTATAATTAGCCCCTATATTTACCAGCTGCAACATTAAAGTACATTCATTATTATCAATAATTACCATCAAATAATGTAATCTTTATTATTATAAAATAGGCCTTTCTGCATGATGAGTACTTTTGGTAATTTAAGTATATTTTGTTGTAAGGAACTTTTGTGTTGATTCTGGCGGCCCCTGTGGACAAAAGCAGTAGTGTTTCCACCACCTTGTTTCATTGATTTCAAGGGGATTCCGACCCAGTGGCAGCTATTAAGAATAACTATATAGAAATAACCAATCTTCTCACTGATGGTCTCCTGTAGGTCACATAGAGGCATCAGTGTTAATCTGAGACTGTTTCATAACCAGTTAAAAACTCTTTGTAGTAGGTTTAAGTTAAATTTTTAATACAGGACTTTTACTTAACACAGTATTTTTATAATAAAACTTGTCGTAAACTAGTAATACTAGTATACTAGTACTTATCCCACTACTGAAAACTGGTGTAATTTATACAATAGGTGTTGCAAAGAGGCGATAATATTGTTTATATAAATTGTGTTTTAATTAGTGGTTCATGCTCATGTTACCAGTAGTGGAAAGTATATTTAATATAAGTATTGTACTTAAGAACAGTTTTGAGGAACTTGAGTATTTAAGTAAAATTAGTATTTTCCTTTTGTGCTACTTTATACTTTAAAAATTAAATTAAACATTTATTTGTTACCTGTATTTACTTGTTACTTAGCAGATTAAATCATGAATCCAAAATATGTGATTAGTTTATGATGCATTGTTATATATTAAACACATTATTAAGCAGTTAAAATTAGGTCCAACTCAATGTGCTAAAACATTAAAATGCTGCTTGAGTGTTAATACATCAACAATAATCTAATATTATAATGTATAAAATAACCCAACTCTGAACATTCTGCATTATGAGAACTTTTACTGTTAATACCTAAAGTAGATATCGATGATAATACTTACTTACTTTTTCACATTGTAGTATTACTACCTTTACTTAAGTACAGGATGTGAGTACTTCTTTCACCACTGCTGGTATCAAACTGGTGTGATTTAAAGAAATGGGTTAAAAACTGGTGCATTTAGCAGCTGTTCTACACCTTTTCCTCATATCACATGATCTTCATCAGCAGATCAAGTTTAGATAAAATTATAGATATAGACAAATTTCGATTTTGTTTCTGAGCACTTTAACGACCTCTTGTCTACGTTGGCATAAGGACTTTGTGGTGAGACTGTTTTTCAAACTGCTGCTTCAATATCAAATCTCACTTTTAACCACAGGAAGTAACATTGTTATCATGAACACATTACTTTTTCATGCTTATGTACAACACTAACTTCACCCAGATCCTTAAAAACAACTAAATAACCCACACACGGAAAAAAAGTAAATTTTAGTGTGTATAGTAGTTTTATTACTCCAAGTTTTGGGATTACAGTGGTAGTCTTTAGGGAACGTTCAGTTTCAACAAGCCTTTCTCTGAGACAACATGAAAAAAACCAAAACATCTAAAACATCTTCTATATAGAGAAACAAATATATGCTCAACACTAATGGGCTGTGGTGTTCTTTTAATTATTTAAAACCCATGTTTGAGAGCCGACTGTCCAGCGCGTGATTCTCCCTCAGTCCAGTTAACAAGCTTGACTGCATGTGTTTAACCTGCAAAAATCAATGCACTGTATTGAGATATTCTGTTGTTGTCAGACCAGTATCAGCACCATGTTAGCCAGGGACAAAAAATTTCTGTTGATTTGTCAAAATTAAGCAATTTAGGCACTTATCAAGAAATTGGCAAAGGTTATGATGAAACTGCTACTGAAAGAATTTTTTATAAGCAAAATACTTTTTTTTTTTTAGTTTTATGCTTAACAGTCAACAAAAGATTGAGCAAAATCTACAGAACAGAAGATTTTTGAATTAACATCACAAACACATTCTAGACTAACCTTACAGAATATTAAACTAAAATCTAAATAGTCCAACGAGGCCTCACACACTGAGCATAAAGTGATATTACACAGCGCTGAGAGGATGCAGGTGCTTGGTTTGCTTTGCATATAAACTATGCCATGAACACCACTGCTTGTGCTGTTGTTCAGCTCAGATATAAAGACAGATACAGTGTCTGTCCATGTGCCTCTGTGAACCTCAGTCAGTCATACCTGCAGGTTCCCGGGTAGGTTTATAACACACTACTCTATAATGGACAAACATTTAAAAGTGCTTTACATTAAGGTACCTTCAATACATTCACCTCTACATTATGAAGTCTTCTATAATACCACACAGGTAACGAGTGAGCTGCAGTTGATGAGTATTCCTTTGGCAAAAGTAACATTTGCTTTTAGCAAAAGATATGGAGTGTGTCAGAGGAGTGTGGGGCTTGAGGACGAAGAGTTCTTTTTAAAATAAACGTCAGCAAGCTAATTAATACAGAGAAACCACTCTGTAAAATCTAAATCTAAAATATAAACCAAGCTTAAATAGACATTTTGGGGAGTATTTGCTTTGTTGCTGAGAGTTAATATGAAGCTACAGCCAGCAATTAGGTTAGTTTAGCAGAAAGACTGGATACAGGTAGAGAAGTGTTGATCAGGGGCAGAGCTTAGCCCAAATTCCCCAGGGATATCTTTTCTCATTTGCAGCAGCTATATGCACTGTTTTTAAAGCCAGTTGAGATAATATGCCTAAAAAATCTGTACATCATTTGGGAAAAAACATCATAGTTGCCCAGAAAAAGTGATCATCCTGTAGAACACAACAAATATTGAGGATGCAAAATTTTCACTCCTGCCACCTAAAAAGAGGCAAAATCTGTCTGATGTTACTATTTTTAAGTTCACATAAGTAGGGTAGAGATGAGGTGTAACTTGAAACCTGTTTTTGCTGAAGTATGCTGGAGTAGAGTTCACAGCATGAATGTTTTGCTGACAAATCTGCTATATGTGAATCAATGCCATAACACTGTAATAGATGGCGATATCTCCCTAGCAATAGAACTTTTACTCCTTTGATTCGGTCCAGTCAGAGAGACCGAGAGGAAATGGCACGAAGTTGAAGTTAATTTAAAAGCCAAAAAGATTTGAGGCTTTTGAAAAAACATTTGAGGCTAGGGCCCCAGAAAGTATCGGACTGATATCAGTATCGATGGATACTCAAGGTGTCAGCGTCCGTATTGGTATCGGACATGAAGAAGTGGTATTGAGCCATTCCTAGAAACAGGGAAACAGCTAGTCTGGCTCAGTATTTGAACGACTCAAACAAAGGAGATATAATGTGTGAATTAAAAGTAGTGAGCTTTACAGATGCTGGTAGGCAGATTTTGTTACTTTTGATCAGAGCCAGGCTAGCTGTTAGTAAGCAGCCGGTTCGCTTAGCTTAGCATAAAGACTGGAAACGGGGAAACAGCTAGCATAGCTCTGTCCGTATTTTATTTCCCTTTTGTGTAATCCATACAAAAACCATAAAAACGACAAGTTGTGGTTTTCCAGTGGGTTATGTGCCGGACTATTTCCTGTAAACCCCCCCATACAACCGCAACTTGTCGTTTTTATACTTGTTGTTATACTTTTATACTTGTTGTTTTTGTACGGATTAAAGATATGACGTGATAATCAGTTAGCTTTAGAGGTGCTGGTAAGGATCTTGTTATCCTTGGGCAGAGCTCGGCTAGCTGTTTACCCCCGTTAAGCTAAGCTGCTGGTTCTACCTATATTTGCCGTACAGACTTTAAAGCGTTATTGATCTTCTCATCTATCTCCCGGCAAGAAAGCAAATAAACGTATTTCCCAAAATGCCAGTGTATTCCTTTAAGTGTGTAATTCCGTCCATAAAGTAGTTAATTTTGTGCTATTAATCATTTTTTTAAAAAGCAAGTGTGTCTGACTTTTCTAATTACATTTCTCACTTTGGAGAAAAACTCTTCAAACCTCAAGCCAATTTACCAGGAGGAGAAAGTAATGAAGAAGAGGGGGGTTACATAGATTGAAAATCACAACTAAGAGCAGTGTGTAATCTCCTAACAGTGCCAGGTTATTATTCAGAATTGCATTCACACAGTATTCAGCCTATTGCACATTAGACTTCTTCATTGAGTGCAGAGAGCCAAAGGTCTGGGGCCGTTTAATTTTTCTTCTTCAGGATTAAGACAACAAATCGACAACAGTCTCAGAAGTTGAGAATCCAAAAATGTCTTCATCATGATTGGGAAATAAGATGACCATGACCTCTTCCACTTCATTACAAGGCATCTGCTCTTGTTTAGTTTTTTTAAAATATATTCTTGATTAAATGTACTGTGCCTCACCAAATAAAATAAAAAATGATGGCAGAGGGTGAAACCTGGGCACTCATACAGTATGTTAAAGGTTAGAAGTAATTTCTAATTATTATTTAATTAGGTTTTTTTTTCTTCTCAAAAGTCTATAAAACATCAGCAGGATTTCTTCTTTTAAAAAGCTGGGTAAAGAAATATTCCCATGGCAGCATTGCCTCGAGACGTTTTTACATAAATAGAAAATTAAAAAAAACACGCAAAAGATTAAATAATCGGACAAATGCAACAGGTGAAAGCAGGAGTTTAAATTAAGACAATAGAATAGAAGAAGTGTGCAGGGGGAAAGTAGGGAGGAGGGGGGTTAAAAGCTGTTGGCACAAGGGAAAGGGAAGAGAGGGGGGGAGCTGTCCTCAGTGTTTCAGTCTCTTAGGTGCTGCTAGTAAGGGCCTTTTGTGTGTCCAAAGATCCCGATGGGAAAGTGTTTGACGTGCGAGGACCACTGCGCCGCCAGCTGGAAAAACTTGACATCGTTCCACTCGACGCCGTCAATCAATACTGCAGAGGAGGAAAACAAACATTATTATACAGTTACACTTTTATTGCTGGAGTTAATGATACTGTTATCCTGAACAATTCTACTTTATGCTTCAACCACACTATATTCAGAGGCAAATATTGTACTTTCTACTCCACTTTATTTGATAACTTTAGGAATTAGTTACTTTCCAGATTCAGATTAATAATATCAACAAGACTTTACTGACGCCAAGCTGGTCTTCTTGCTGTTGGACTAGTAAGTAACTTTAGCTGGCTTGCTGCCTTGTGTTGTTGCACTGGGGTTGATGTTTGACTGTGTTGACAAAGTTGTCGATCTTTGTGTCATAAATAATGTAATAATAACAAATGCACGTGTACAGCTGTCCATATTTATGACAGTGGTATTGCAACTGGATGCACCGAATTGCAAGAAATACCAAATCTTACATAATGTTGCTTTAAGCGTGGTGGTAAATGACACTATTGTTCAACAATCAGGAAACATTAGAAATGGGAAAACCACTTAAAAAATGTAAGTGAGCAGCATCTATTTCCACAGAAGCTCAGACAACAAAAAATAAACCAAAAGAAAATATTGTATCTTTTATTGTCAGATGAAAATGGTATCAACCATTTCATGATGTGATGAAAAAAGTGTAGAAAAGTACCTCTCAGCATGGTCTGCTGTTGCTTGGCAGTGCAGATGAGCCGGCTGATGCTCTCGATCACTTGACTCTTCGACTCTACCTCCTTGTCTTTGCTCTTTTTTGGCAGGAACATGACTGGCAGAAGGGAACAACAGAGATGCACGCTGTGAGCAAATGAGGGATTCAGAATCTCTCTGGTCTCCGAGGATTAAACGACATTTGGCCTTTTGGTGCAACGCTTGAGGTTGGACTGTAAAAGACTGGATTTGAGCAGATTGCGTGCACTCCTGTAAATACCATTCTTCCACAGAAATTGTGTCTTAATGACTGTCTCCAGATTATGGAGCCATTAAAATGTAGCATGTGTAATTGTGAGGTGAATTATTCATTTAAGAAGATAAAGAAGATAACACATACAGTCTACAAATCCAAAGACTCATGGATGCAGCAGCTTACCCTTCTTATTCTTCTCCTTGGTCACCACAGTCATGGACATGGTGGGCTGGGGGCTCGGCTCTGCGCCCCCCAGTGGCAGCCGGCTGACCTGCAGCGAGCGGAAATTGCACTTCAGAGTGTTTTTGGAGGAGGAGTCCCGCTTCTCCATGTCTTTCTTCCTTTCTGTCGGAGCCACCCAGTAGTCCACCTGAAGGCCCATCAGTTCCGTCTGACCTACAGAACTACAGAAAACAGTCAGTGAGGTGTGTATTGTCAAAATACCTTCATTTATAACTCTTTTTATGTATAATTTATATAATTTATTAACTACACCTGCTTTACAAAATGTGTAAAAGAAATAAAAATAACAATATATAATTTTTATATTCAAATTTGCTTTTTTTTTTTGCTGCATTTTGCTGAAATAGTCCTTCACCAGACATCACATTATACCTGTAAGCACAGAAGCTAGTGGTGACGGAGGGAGAGGAAGGTGGGGTGGGCGACGCCTCTTTGAGAGCGGGTGATATTTGTGGGGGAGTGGACGAGAGCAGCGAGGAACCCAGAGGTGCTGCGTCATCAGAATCTCCTAAAGGGGAGAAAACAGTCAATCATTTATTTCCAGAAAATATATTTGTATATTCAGGTGGAGAAATGCTTTTGTTTGAAGCTGCAGATGTGCTAAGGTGTCTGGTGTAACTTTGAGATGCTTTGGTGCAGGTTAGTATGTAAAAACGTTTAATAATATATATTTTTTTACATGTATCTTTTTTAAATTTCAAACAAACTTATTCCTTACCTGATGTTGCAGATGTTTGCTCCACGATGCCGACTTTCACCATCTGAAGAATAACAAAAACAGGATGTAAAGGGTGATAACTTGTAACACACAGTAAATATTTAGGGGGACTCTGGAATTAAAGTGGCTACTTACACCAATGAAAGGGATGAATTTCTGACATGAGTCCTCATCAGGGCTGTGGAGAGGCAGCAGAAGCCAAAAGAGAGTTCAAGTAAAAAGGAGGCAAGAAAATAATCAATATGCTATGATGAAAAGGGAAGAAATTATGTACGGATGAAAATCGAATCGAATCTAAAGGAACTAACTCAATACTTTGATGTGAAAAGATTACCATTCGAGGAAATTGCATCTACAGTTATTAACACTGAGATCTAGTAATTAGTAACTTGTTAATGCTGACTTTTGATTTCCAATGAATCACATCTGGAAATACAGTTGTCGTCCATTGCATAGAAGGTATGCAACGTTATCACAACCCAAACAGAATCAACAGAGCATGCTGCACTTGCTGCTGGGCTTCGAACCACCACTAAAACAGATTCAGTTCCCGACTGCAGGCCCCTTATTGTAGCTGGAGAAGCAAGAGAGCAAAGCATGCAAGCTATCGGCCGATTCGAGGCCTCTGACAAAGCCATCCAGTTATTGCAGAGACAGACTGGATCTACCAAACCAAACTCAGAAGGGCATTCAGGAGGCAGCAAGTCCATCGGGGAGCAACTAAATACTACAGAGTCATAAAGAAGTGGATGAGAAGGAAGAGCACCAACCTACATCCAAAACTTCTCCTGTTCCATGCACTACCTGTACCGGAAGTGCATGACTACACTTACAAGCCTTCCATGAACTATTTTCCTGGCAACAACCAGAAAAATTGCCTGAATGGTTCTAGCTCTACGTTTTAAAGACGTTTGATGATGTGAAAGGTTGTTGCTCTTGCCTTGAGGAAACCTGCCATCGCCCCCCCAGGGAAGAAACAGAGAGACTACAGAGGAGGGGAGAGAAGGAGAGAAGACAGTGTGCAGTAGGTCACAGTTTGCAAATCAAAGCCACGTTTTCTTTTCCCAACACAACACAACTCTGCTGTAATCGGTTTTAGAGCAGCCAGAGAGAGAAAGCCAGATGTCTGCCTGGTATGTGAGTGATTTATGTTCATCTCGCCTTGCAGGGATGGATTATGACAGAACACATGGCCTCCGTCTCATGTGTTTGATCCATATTGGCTTAAATGGTGTATCGGCTAAAAGATGCACATGCATGTCAATCCATGTAGATGGACGTAGAACTACTGTATGGACGTAACACATGCACTAGTTCTGCATATCTGTTAACACTAGTTTCTAGGTTGAAAGTTGTTGTAGTTGTTTTTAATTGTCATTTATCTTGTTTTATCTTTTACATTTTGGATTTTATTTATTTTTTATCCCTTGTTTTACTGTGAGTTACTTTGTAACTTTATTTTTGATGCTATAATTTATATTATTATTGTTACTTTGTCACAGCCAACTTAAAGACCATACCAGGGGTTTTCATTTTATGTTGATTCTAGCGCCCCCTGTGGACAAAAGCGGTAGTGTTTCCATCACCTTGTTTCATTGATTTCAAGGGGAATCTGATCAAATCTGACCCGGTGTCAAACATGAAGAATTACTATATATAAATAAAAATATTTTGTTGATGGTCTTGTTTGTTTATGTAGGTCAACATTAAAAGCAATATCTCCTCTGTAGAATGTTTAATGTTAATATCTTTTTCTTTAAAAGAATTTAACAATTTAAACATTCAACTTATACATCTCCATGTGTTTTCACTATTTCTAAACACTTGTCATTTTTGCACAGTTGGTAGTATTTTGTAAAAGCTTTAACTAAGTCACTTTATTTTATAGATCCATCATTTTCTAATAATTTCCAAGAAGTTTTCCCAATTTTTCCAATTTCCCAACATTTTAAATGTGAAAAACAAATGTTAGGGCCACCTGCCAAAAAATACTCAGCTCTGCCAAATTCAGCCTTAAAATAAGCTTATAGACTTTAGCATTAAAACATAATTGCATATATTTTAAAAATATATTAATACAATGTTAAAAACAGGCTCAGTAGTACAGTCAATCATAACACTTGATTATGATCAAATCATAATCATGATTTGATGGTGACATTAGACTACACTGAACCAAACATGTAACCTAAATGTTGATCCTGCTGGTTTAGGTTGTTGATCGCACTTTGACGTTGTCAATTTACTGACGGTGTGCAGGTTTTCTACCTCTAAAGGGACAAATAACAGACAGACATGGATGGCCAGAAGCACATGGAGATCATGGAGAGGAAACAGCAGGGAGGAAGAAACAGAAGAAAAAGCTGCAGAGGAGGGAGAGGAGGGAGAGGAAGGAGGAGATAGAACTGATTTTAATTGGTCTCTTGCCACTTTATCAGCACGTTTTACCCTTTAGTCACTCCTCTGATATCTTATCAGTGAGGACTGTTTGGAGTAGAAACTAAGAAGCCAGAATTATATTTATGTGTTGAGGACATTCTTTCATTAATGCCAGAAATAATAATCTTCATAGATGCCTGATTTATAAAATAACCACAACAAGAGCACGCAGAAACTCATCATTTATGCTGCAACACACTGATGCATGAAGCACTTAAAGGAATAGTTAGATAGACATTTTGGGAAATACGCTTATTTTCTTTCTTCCTGAGAGTTAGGTCGATACCACTCTCACATGATAAATGCAAAGCTACTGCCAGGAGATGGTTAGCTTAGCTTAGCATAAAGACTGTAAACAGGGGGTAACAGCTAGCCTGGCTCTTTCCAAATGGAAGAAAATCTGCCAACCAGAATCTCCAAATCTCATGTTTGTTAAATCCACACAATAACTGAAGCATAAAAAGGACAATCTGTGGTTCTACGTGGCATTTTGGGCAGGTCTATTTCCTGGCTGAAATAGTCCCACACATAATTCAACAACAAATCGTCAATTTTACAGTTCAGTTTCTGTACAGATTACAGAATAGACACATATGTAGAGATTTTTTTGTCCATTTCCCCTCTTTGTAGTCTTTATGCTAAGCTGCTTGCTGTAGCTTCACAGATAGCATATCTATTAATATTTATATATATTTAATGTAATAAACTTTCAATCATGACAGCTCTTGAATCAAAACTGACTCACCCAATGTACTGAAACAATGTCATACAAATAAACTACAAGACACTTTTAATGGCTTTTTTTTTTTTTTTTTACATCTGTACAACATATTGATTCCGTTTAAATAAAGTTAAAAATATATAATATGCTGTTATTACAGACATGTTTGAACTAACTGCAGCCTCTTTTTTTGGGGGGGATGGTGTTTAAATTTGTGTTAGGTAAGTTGAGATTGTTTTCCAAAAAACTACCATCCTTATCTAGACATATAAAGCGAAACACACAAGATATTGTTGAGAAAGGCTCTGTTCAAAGCCTGGATTCAGTTATTAATGTAGTTACAAATGTCAATGATTTTGACTGAGGTTTTCTTACTTTTGGAACAGAGCCCAGAAGTTCTGGTTTTTCTTCAGCTCTCTATTCCTTTAAGTGTATATCTTTAAATCAAGAGTAGTTGTTGAGATGCAGCTTCGGCAATTAAAGCTGCACCAGATATTTCTGCAGCTAACTGGCAGATAAAAAATGCAGCAAGACATTGATTTTACAACCCAGAAATTGTGTAAAGTGATCTACTCTGCTACCACACCAAAATGTATCAAACAGATGGGAGGCAGGAGATCTAATGTAGAATGAGTCCACATTTCTTTGATTTATTTTCTTGCAGTTTCTCAACAGTTTGTATTTTTTCATGAAATTTCCCTTTGTTTGAAGTGACCAAATGTGAAATTTGGGGGTAGATGCGCCTAACCACAATTTAATTTGGGCAAAAAGGATGATGCTAGTGTGTCTTGGTAGGAATAAGACTCTCTTCTGTATTGCATCTGATGTCTAGGCTGATAAATAAAAACATTGTCTGGTGCAGCTTTAATTAGTTCAAGAAATCTCATTCTGTGTCTGCTTGCTTCTGTTCTTTATAACTCTGCTGTGTTAGAGCAGAGTTAGATCTTATCTGAGAAGTTCATGGTTCAGCTAGTAATAAAAAAGAAACATCTCTGCAGCTGTTAAAGTGACAAGCTCCAGCAAAGGCTGAGAGGGTTCAAGGGGAAATGGCTCCAACACACAGAAAGCACATGAATCACACTATAAGCTACGTGATAAACAAACTCAATCGACCACAATACCTTACTGCAAAATCAAAATGAAAGCTCTTTTTCCTTCAAAGAAAGAAAAGAAAAAATACAACAAAAAGATAAAACATGTTATTCACACACACACACAGTGATGGAAAGACAGTGATGTTTAGAAGACAGACCCCCCCCCCACCATGTCAGACGCCGCCACTCCAACACAAACTCCACAACATTAGTGAAACTGTTACCTTTTTTTTTTATTTTCAAAAGGGGGTTGAAAACATTTGTAATTTGTAATATATGTTCATTTTATTTCACACACTAATCCTGAATAGATTCGTCACTAGTGCCACCAACAGTTGGTTTCAGTGGGACATTATGTTGCTAGTGGCAACCGCTCCACAATTAGCAGTTAACTGACACTACAGCTGCTATTTTGTCATCTGGGCAGATTCAAAGGTTCTGTTCAGCTACAGACAGGAGGCAGGTTTAAGCCTAATATTAAGATTATTTGTTATTATTACATTTATTATTGACTGTTGATGAATCCTGAACGAAACTGGTTCAAGAACCAGAGATAACTAGGTGGAAGAGGGGTACTCCTAATCCACTCTTCCCAATAGTTCCAGTTCGGAGCGTTTTTTGAACCATTCATTTTTATCTCCACTTACCATGTTGTAACTAAATAGATTCAACATGCGTGCGTGCCGGAATCTGAAACAAAAATATGCAATACAATTCATTTTTAGAATACCCTTCATCTAACTTTATAGCATCCCTTTTTTTTTTGCTGATGTGTAATCACTGACTTTGTTTCACAATTGCAACCAGTGAAACTTCCTGTTTTCACTTTACTGGAAGGGTGTTTGGCGCTCTGCACAGCTGTGCCAGAATTTGTAGGTAATGTCAAAAAAATTTATAAAATGTATTTTTAAAAGCAAGCTATCACTTTTTCACAGTCAATCTTTTACGTAACAGTTCAATCCCCTTTTGAAAAACAGCTGAAAGCTCGGCATTAGAAGCACTTGTTAGATGAAACCCTCCAGACTTTTTCAGGGTTACTCACAAAAAACACATTTAAAGTCTCACTTCTGTAAGTGCTCACGCTGTAATTTTCTCAGACCTGTTATTAAATGAGATTGAAATCCTGAAAAGAAAAGAAAACATACCTCTTCTGTTTGTAGGTGAGCATGGCCTCTGCGATGGGAAGCTGGTGAGCTCCGTTAGCTCCCATCATGTACTGAGTTACCCTTGACACTACGTCTGGGTTCTCCTGGGCTGCACAAGGGCACAGTGATTAATTCTCTACTACTGACTGTACAGTACCTGAACACATCATCAGAAACAATAGTCAAGATGCTCACATTCATTTCTTAATTTCAAATCTAAATTATTTAAGAAGCAAAAATGACCGGTTTTCCATATTGTAGATGTTCTCTAAAGACTACTGGAAACTAAAAATAGGTATTTAATCGTCAGTAAGACGTAAGAGCCCACCAACAACAGGAGCTTCTGGTTTGTGAAACAGGTCCCTCCAAGCTGCGTCCTGGAACAAACTGTTGTATCGATAGTCAATAGTGCCGAGATATTTGGAGACTGGATGTGTGCCTAAACCAATAAAAGAAAAACAGTCAAAATCAGACAACAAACAGCTTTAAAGATGCAGTGTTAAATGAATATAACTAACAAATAAGACCAATACAAAGAGGACTGAGAGCCTCCTCTGGTTTGTTGCCATCAGGAAGATGTGTTAGTTTGCTTTATAGGACAAACCTGCCTAGGTAATGGCAGGTGGTGAGAGGAGTGAAAGAAAGATAGAAAAATATTTTTTCCGACATGCTTGTCTCATCATAAAAGCCAAAGCTTGATTTTTGAGAAACACTAATACCATTACCAGAAGTCTCCAGGAGTCTCTACTTATCCATTTTCAGTAATTATAGCATTTGGACAAATATAGCACTTTTAAATATTACCAGAAAAACAAAAACATGAGAGTAGCATTAGGATTAGACTGTAACCTAACCTAAAGGGATGATAAGGAACCTCATGTAGCCGAGCCAGTCAGGGGTCTTATGGGAAAGGTGGTCCACAAAAAGCCTCAGAACAGCACTGAGATAGTGCTGCGCTCCAGCCACTGCGATCTTTATGGGAATGGGCGTCTGGGAGTTACAGTTGCAACTAGGAAAGACAATAAATACACAGCTTACAATCGAAACCATCAAATTTGGTAAAGGGAAATAGGACTTCACATAGTAAACTCTTCTTATTAATCACAGTTAATTCAGCAGCATGTGAGAGACTGACTTACAATCTCTGTATGCGGGAGACGATGGTGTTGAACGCAGCTTGGATGTCGGCTGTGGTGCAGGTGCAGACCACTGGTAGATGGTGGTTTTGCAGCATATCTGAAAGATACTGAGAGAGAAGGAAAATCAGATTAGTGGCAAAAACTCAAACTGAAAACTGCATGACTTCATTATGAAAAACATTTCACTGTTTTTGGTTGAATAATTTATTACCAGCTATCTTTTAACATTCGTAAAAGAAGAAGAAAAGAAAAAAAAAGTAATGCTTCACAAACAATTATTTTCAAGAGTCTGTTTAACTTTTGGTTAAACAGACAAATGGTGATTACCAAGGCAAGTATAAAGAAAAAGACATATGCAAAGTAGGAGCCATTTCAAGCTTGTGCTGATATTCCTTACCTGGCCCTGCCAGTCCGATGTGTTGATGAGAATGATGCTGTCAGGGAGGTGGTTATCAGACACCAGGATGTGGTTTAGTTGGTCATACACCGTCTTTCTTGGGATCTAGGCAGGTGAAATAAGTAAAATAAAATAAGGGCCCATATTTTTGATGTAAGGACTGCAAAATATGAGATTTTCTTCAAGTGAATCTGGAAGATTCAAAACTTTAAAGTGACTGAGTTGTTTTGCCAGGACTTTGCCTGACATAATGGCTTGTAGAGATGTTTTGCCTGTCATATTAACTGTTATATAGGGTCAACAATCGGGGTAAAGCTCTGTTACTGTAAAAAATAAAAATAAAAAACTTTCAGGACAATATTTTTCTTTTTGCAGTTCTTTCGTCCTACCTGTAGGTGGCAGCGTGTGTCTAGGGACCGCTCGTTGTCCAGGCTGTTGGCCCTCTCGTTCTGCGGCCTGCTGGGCTGGCGCTCCTTCAGTGACGTGCTCCTGCCTCGCCTCCCTGCCAACTTTGGTTCTTGCCTAAAAAATGAAAACAGCAGAGGAAGAGAGATGGAGGACTGGCAGAGATGTGATGGTCAACAACAGGAAGCACAATCCTGATCTGTAGGAGATGATTAAAGACAAAAATATCGATTCAAATCAAAACCTGATGCACTATTTTCCCTTTTTAACACTGAATTCACATCAGTTTGTTTCATCTATCGTGTTGTTTTCTGTGAATTTTTATCATAAAGATTTATGTGAGCTTTAAAAAACCCCATCTTACTATGACGTATATCAAAGCTTTAAAGAAGTGGGTTATTCTTTTTTATATATTTCTACCTGTTGGATGAAATGATAAGGGACTCTGTCTTGGTCATTTTGCCACTTGGTGGCAGTCTCTCTAAAAATGTGTCCATGTTGTCCATCTCCAGCTCTGTGGTCGGAGTAACCGCCTCCGGCTGCTCCTGAGGGGAAACAAAAGAGAAAAACAGGGTTTATGAGTTAGGAGCTAACAGATGTGTTTATGCATTTTTCTCTTTCTCAAAACAACACTTTTTCACACCTTAAATGTCTTGACTGTCCTTATGATTTATTCTTATTGTATTATGATTGCAAACTTGACTATTAACCCCTAAAATGTATCTCTTCTTCCTGTATGTGAAGTGAGTGTGAGACTACAACTTTCAACAACAAGGCAATAAAAAGAAAGTGCTTTACATTAGACAGAAAGGCATTGGGAAACACAAGGCAACATAAAAAGACATACATAACTTAAAATGTGCAATTATTTAAATGTTTAAAAGGCTGGAAGGCTCATTTTACCATGTTTCCCTCAAAATAATGACTTACAATAATAAATACTGATGCCAGTTATCAAAATAATGACTTACAATAATAAATACTGATGCCAGTTATTGATCTCAAGCAGCTTTAAGAGCTGATACTCACAAAGGAGACATTGTCAGACACACTGTCATCTGGAAATTTGGCCCCACCACACTTGGTTTTATCTGGGTCAATCTGGAATGAGATGGTGAGAAGAATAATAAACATTATCTGGGTTTGATGGAGTCCCAGGAACTTTTATTTCACAGAAAGTAAAGCATTGTTTCATTCAACAGAAGCCCTACAGTTTAATAAACAAACTGCTGGTCATATTATAACTGGTTTGAACCTGTGGACTGATGGGAAAATCGGAGCGGAGGAAGTGAAATTTTACACTTCTGTACTTCAGTGAAAGATGCCCTAAAGCGGGAAAATTAACGCCTTTCTGCTCCAGAGGATTTGATCATCGGTGCAGTTCAGTGGTTGCACTGGTCGGCCTTGAGCTGTTTCACTGTGGTATTAGTAACCCCGTTTGCTTAGGTAAATGTAGAAGGAGTAGGGGTCTGAGGTGGGCATGTGATCAGGCACACAAAGAAGCAGAAAAAGGCTGGTCTCATTTTACATAAACTGGAGTCACATGTTCAAAATATGCAGAAGGAGAACTGCTCCGCTGCTGCAGTTATTTATGGCTGTTTTTTACACACTGTGTTAATCACTGTGCTGCTGCAGTAATGTCGGTCTCACCGGGCTGGGAGGCTCCCTGTGGCTCCGGCTGCTGTGGATGCTCCCGATCTCAGTTTGAGAGCTGGAGAGGGAGAGACCCTCAAAATATGGCCTGAAACACAGGAAACAATATGGGCTGAAGTTAAGAAAACAAACACAAATCAGTTTGACTGTTATTGACTGATATGGGTGAGTTGGTCAGTATAGATCACAGTGTTTTAAGTATGGTACCATTCAATAAAGTACAGAACACGTACTGAAGCGATGGCATACTAAACTCTACCACCATCACCAATCTCTGACTTTACACTTTGATTTGCATTTTAGACTTAGACCTGCATTAGAAACTGTGGGTGTGGAGTTGGAGACACAGGTGTTTACAAGGCAAAAAGAAAGAAAAACACTGGTGAATTGAATTTAGGGAAGTGAAAGATCTAGAATTAATGGCAATTGACTTACACTGGGATCTGAAAGCCAGGATGTCTCAGCCTCTGCTGCTTTGTTTGGTTTCTCGTTTTTACGTGCAGATATGCAATGCTTCACTGCTGGAGTACTCCTTTAACTTTATGAGTATATGTTTATATGTCCTATTATATAAAAGTTTTAAAAAGAAAACCTAAAGAAAACCCTGAACGTAATTTTTTTTAAATCATTAAAATGTCACTATCATAGAGTACAAGCACAAACTATTGGATAAATACAGCTGCAATAACAAGGCTAAAATTTATAGTAAGGCAACCTCGCTTGCTGCAGGGTTTAAGGAAAAATTAAGGAAATGGTGAGTCTACTATAATAAGTTGACATGCTTCCATGTTCAAAAAACACATTTTATCTTTCATACATTGCTGCAGTGGGCGGGACTGGACTGACACCCAGCCTATAGGTGGTGCCTGTTACAGCATTACCCAACATGAGCCTAGTGCTAGTTCTGGGCTGGTTCTAGTGCTGGTTTGGAAGTTGGTTCAACTTGTGAACCTTCAAAGAACCAGTTTTCCACATGCTAGAGAGCCATAACTAGGTCACACCCATTAAGGTTCAGTTCCATTTAGTGTAGCATTTCCAGTGAGCTGACATACACAACAGCAGCAACCTGACTCTGTTTGACCTGAATGGAACAAAACCTGTATTAGTATCATTGGTGAAACTGATGTTTACTACTACTATATGTCAAAATGGCTGCGGAAAACTTTTATGAAGATTTTTAACTTTATTATCATTATTTGGCCTGCAACGTAAGTCAGGTTTCTCCCAAATAAAGACACACACATACTCATTACTGCTGAGAAACACTCACTTGAGTTTGGGTTTTGGTGTGCTGAGGACGCTGTCGTCGTCATCAAGCTCCGGGCCGCTGTCACTCGGGTTCTCAAACTCCACACTGTCCAGGTCCAGGTCCTCCTCCTCCACCTCAGGGGGCGGCTCTGCAGGGTCCTGCTCTGAGTCCAACACCTTCACACACACATAAGTACAGACAGTACATCTTCAGTAGCTCAGCGGCTCCACAGTAGACAAACAAGAGAAAACTAAATTCCCACATCAACACGAGACAGAAACACCCACCTCGTCTGAAACTCTGAACCGCTTCAGAAGAGCCACCACTCGCTGTTTAAAGTTCTGCTGCTAAAACACAAGAGAATAAACACACAACTACAAGTCAGTCTGTGACCTAGTTATGATTTACTACAGTACTCTCAGCAATCCAATACAGAGATAACAGCTACAGCTGCTGCTGAGCTGGAGCTCCTCCATTTTAGTAATTTTACCGGCAGTAGATACATTTGCAGTGTTGGCTGGGTATCGATTTTGCTGCGTGTGCTCATGTAAATCAATAATCAAGCAACATCATGCCTCATCTGCTTTCTGGGGCTTTCATCTCCTGCTTCTGCTCACTGAGCTCTATAAAACCATATCCCCCACGAGAAACAAAACATATTTAAACTGTCTCATTAAAGCTCACTGAAAGGTGCTGAATATCTGCAAATTAATCACCTACAATACGAACATAATGAGGACCTAATGGAAATGTTTATTTTAGAAGCACATTCGACTACAGTACCTGAACACTCCTCAGCTACTGTATGCTGAACTCATCGACCACTACCTACGTCAACTACGTCTGAGGTAAAAAGATGGATGTTATCAGTCACCTTTACTACTTTACAGTGAACCAGGAAAGCTTCCACCAGATCAGGTGGGTTTGGCACATAAAATAACTTGTCTAGAATTGATTTTGAGATATACTGACAATGATTTTCATAGACTGCAGCTGAATTTTTCAGTAAGGTTTAGTTTAGTGCGGTTGCATTGCTGTAGAATTTAGTGTCATTGAATGAAAGACCCACAGAAATGCATGCAAATGTAACCATAACAGGCCACTGTTTCCCAAATGTAACTTCATCTTAAAGGAGTAACTTTTTGAAATCCACTTATTTGCTTTCTTGCTGAGAATTAGATTATTGGGTTAGAGAAGATCAATACCACTCTCAAGTCCGTGCATTAAATATGGCTCCACTGCCAGCAGCCGATTACCATAGCTCACCATAAAAGAGTGAAAACAGGGGGTCTGTCACAATAGCTGCCTTAGTTGTTTTTATCTTTTCCCATTATGTCTCTCCAACCCTGCTTTCACACACATCCTCAATTCCCCGGGTCCCTGCATTTCTATGAGGCTTTGAATTCATTGGCATTCTCCTCCTTTTCATCAGATGCCCTCAAACATTCTCCATCAATCCTGAGTTCCTGTGTCTGTGTGTAAATACCAGCCCCTTTTCCCAGTCAATTCCTAGATGTTACTTCACTTACGAGTGTGCACATTTTATTATTTCACCATTAAAATCTCTGAACTGTTCCCGCCTGTCTGGTTGTCTGCAGTTGGGGCCTTTTCCTTGCTGCCTCATACACACCTTGTGACAGAAACACTTAACCTGGGGGAGGACTCCATGAAGTTATTGCACCTGTCCAAGTTTACAACCATGAAACTAGAGGTCACAGTGTGGGAACTCTGCAAAGACACTGTCATGGTCGAAGGTTTGTTTCCTCAAACTAAACTTATACTTCAGTTGGGGCTCCTTTAATCCCTGGTTCACGTCTCTTACTCTGGTGATGGAGGGCGTTCTCACAATCGACCTCCTCTGCTTCTTTGGCTTCCTCACATCGTACTCATCATCCTCCAGATCCTGAAAACAATGAAGAGGAAGTTAAGACACATAAATGCATTATTTACACGTCTTCCAACCTCATGCTCCAACTAATCGCCAACCGACTTGCCGCTGACCAGAATGACGTAAAGTGCTTTGCCTCATGACCCTTAAAAGTCTGTTTGCATCAATCATTTCCAGGCCGACTCACCTGTCCCTGCACAGCATCGTCGCTGGCTTCCTGCTCCGAGGAGAAGCTCTCATACTCTTCCTCTGAGTAGTTATCTAAAGCAGAGGACAAGTAGGGAGATTAAAGGCTGTAGGGCGTAGAAGATCCCTCATACATATTTCAATGACCCTTTTAAATTTGACATGCAGCCAGGCTCTTAATATACATGATGTGTGCAGCACACACAGAGAGCTGTATTCTACCTGAATTTAAATCGCTTTCTGCACGATTAGCAAGAAAACCTTGAACCCTGTGATCCCTGCTCTATTTAGCCCATGGAGCATATTAGGTGATTATGATGGCTTCCTGCTGTTTTAACCTCACAACACCGGGGGTAATGAGTGGCAACGTGTACCGGAGCATTTGATCTTCTGTCCTCCCTGCAGGGCTGCCTCCTCGTGGTCTATTGGCTGACTGGACAGGGAAAAGATCCAGATCTCTGCCACCTTCCCCAGCATTTCTTTCTGGTTGCTGCAGAGAGGCAGGACCTGGCCTCCCTCTGTCGGGTGCTGCATCACCTGGGAGAGGTGAAAGAAAAGAGAGCAGAGGCAGAATATGAGAGAGGGGAAGAAATGTAGTGAGAGGAATGATCCACCACAGCGAGACTGAGTGATCTGAGCTCATTTCTCAGTTCTTTTGATTCTTCGTGAGTTTTGTTACTATGTTACTGTACTTTACTTTTCCCTTTACCTTCTACATTTACACACAAATATCTGTACTGAAGTCTTTACACAAGTATCTGTACCTCTACTTGATTAAATAATGTGTGTACTTTTGTCACCTCTGGCCTTTAGATACATTAACACTGTGAGCAAAATTTCTGTCAAAGTTGTATTTCATTTTTGTAGAGATATCAGGTTCTCCATCTGTAGTAAACTCTATACCATAATGCATTGCAAGCTCAGAGACTACGCTTGTTGTTGTTCAATTTTACTTGAATGTGGGAATTTGGATGTTATCACAGCCATCTGGGAATTCAAGCCACTGAGGCAGATAACAATATGTGTGCACACAGTCAAAACAGCTTTAACTTTTTAAATATTCAGGTCAATCATTCAACACAGCTTTATTGGTGTCCTCACTGTATTGCTTAAAACTAGATTTCAAAGTAAAGTACGTAGAAAATCCTGTAAAAGTCACATTTGTGTTGTGGGCTTTGATTTAAAAGAACAGTTTGACATTTTGTGAAATAAGGTTAATTGCTTTCTTCACTGAGAGTGAGATTAGAAGATTGACTCTCATGTCTGAATGGTAAATATGAAGCTACAGCCAGGAGACGGTTGAGGGGGGCCATACATTACACTCTGTCTAAAGTGCTTGTCGCAGGTGACAAAGAAGCCAGGGTTTGAACTTCTCTCCCTAAAATAAAAACGGAACTATTTCTGTCTTAACAGTGAATACTATGAATGTCTTAGCTAAACTAACCAGCTGCAGTTTAATGTGTATTATTAGATTTAGATATGAGAGTGGTATCAATCTTCTCATCTAACTCTTGGCAAGAAGACATTTTAGTTTGCCAAAAATATTCCTGTAAGATAATATTGTGAATTAAGCTTTGAGAGAATGACCCTAACCTCCCAACCAGGAGCAATCTTAATTATCCTAATTACCTATATTCATTAGATATTCACACCTGGGTGCTGCGGTTAACCACCCACAGTTTCCTGCTATTTGAAACTGAGGCTTCACTATTAAAGCAGCATCACAAACCCAGGTTATTTCAGGACGGCACCACCCCAAATCTGGATGACTCTCTTTGTTGTAGCGCAGTCCAGCAAGACCATGTCAGCCTTTAGCAATTTACACTGTATCTTGTGTGGTATGTTGTGTCAGAGCCCCTTTGTGTCCTTCAGCTGAAAAAGCGAGAAGTATTTATTTCTTGTGGTTAAGTACAACTCTCTGTTTCTGCTTCTTTTTTTCCCTCCTCCCAGGCGCCAAAATGTCTTTTTGTTTTTTTTTTTGTCTTCTCTCAGCTGCTGAGATGTGACCTTAATAAGCTCCACTGAGCTTTGTCAGCCATATGGGAACTGCAGCAACATCTGCACTGAAGAATATTAATCTGAAGCAAGTCCCCTATTTATGTATTCCTGATTTTATTAAAACACAAGAGATGTGTCCATCGGGTAACTTTTGGAAGTTTTCTTCACATCTATAATATAATAAGAAAGCAGGCTTGTACGGAGAAAAAGTAATTATCTTAAAGGACCAGTGTGTATGGTTAGGATTAGGTTGCAGATTGCAACCATTTGAATACAAATCAGCCTTCTAAGCATGTTGGAGAAACTATGGTGGCTGCGAAACTTACTAAAAACGCAAAAGGCCCAATCTACAGGCAGTGTTTGGTTTGTTTGTTCTAGACTATTGTAGATGGTGGTTCAACATGGCTGCCTCCGTAGAAAAGGACCCGCTCCCTCGAAGGATAAAAACGGTTAATTTCTAAGGTAACGAAAAAACTCTTCCTATTTTCAGGTGATAACATTACTGACTACTATGAATATGATATTCCTATTCTGCCAATAGCTCCTCCTAAATGTTACACACTGGACCTTTAAGTCTTTCAAAGATAAAAAGTATTATACAAGTACAAGAGGCTCAGCAAAACCTTATGTGAAGTTGTGGAGGCCAGAGCTTGCTAACATCGACCAGTTCCTCATTATATTTTCACACCAGTCCTGACACTAACAGCCTGTTAGGGCTGGTGCATTTTTCCTACTCCTGCCTGCCCCGAGACTTCACAGAAAGAGCAGCAGAAGTACAATCTTGGTATCCTCTACATACTGCAAACAGCAATGACACAAACCCACCATCTTACACAGACAATATGAACATGAAACCAGGTTCGTTGCAGCGTCGTCATACTGTACCTCGGCCATATCAATGGATCCCACTGCGAGGGTCTTGTAGCCCAAGATAGTTCGGTTCTTGTATCTCTTTCGCCTTTGCAGCATGATCTGCAGCTTGTTTCCTTCTCGCTTTAAGAAGTGAGGGTACTGAAAAGGGAGGAAACCAGGAAAAAGAAAGCAAAAGGTACAAATTACTCATTAATTTAACTGGTAGTGATGCTATTTTTATTTTTTATTGTGTATATTAAGATATTTCTTGTTCCTCTGTGCCATAGAGCTCCACTGTTGTCCAAAAACTATTACAAACACATCAGTGAGACACACTGTTGCACTGTGTGACATGTTTATTTGTTGAAATGAACTGTTTACTTTAGGATATTTTGAATTGATCCCACATACTGGAGTCCAATAAATACACTATTCACTACTATTCTAATAAAGCCCATGAAAGTAATAATACGTCTAATACGTTAAATATTATCGACTAAATAAGAAGTGATTTTAGTTTAAGTTCAGAAAAAAAACATCCTTAGTTACCTGTAAAGGCTTTAACACAATAAAAAAACTCTAAAATCTAATCTGCTTCAATATGTGGTTGAGCCACGCCCTCTTTAAACCAGTGAGAGGAACAAAGACAAAAACTTAAATGCAGAAATCTCTGAAATAACCAAAAGTATATATCTGTGACTTGTTTTTCAAGTTTTACATCCTCAGTAGGAACGAGGAAAGCTGCAAAAGTCTGAAAGAATTGAAAGAAGGACTAAAATATTGTTGCTTTTGATCTTTTTATGAGATAAAGAATATTGCCACCCTTATCTTTTTCACAGAAGAGCTGCATCTCTAAACAGTATTTCCGCAATACAGAAAAGAGGGCTTCATATCTCATTGATATCTAATGGAAGTTGGAACAGTTGCCATGGCAACGGGTGTAATAAAATTCATCCCACACACTAAAATCTCAGTTCAATGAAAAAAATGGCAAATAAAGACCTTCAAATTATTCATGAATGGTTTATTTGGTAACCTACGATGTTTATTTTGAACCAAACAGCAGCATGGTGATATGCTGCTGTTTGGTTACCTTGATTACCTGCAGTGAAAAGGTGAGAGCCAGATCGGTCTCCACAGACCCACTGGGTGGCAGCACTATCTCATGGGACCTCAAAATCCGTTTGGAGCCCTGTAAAAAAAAAAAAAAGAAAAAAAAAATTGTGGGAGTTTTTCCCCTGGAAGTACTCTGCATCTCTGCAGCAAAGGTGCACAGCATAAATAATTCAGCAAGATTCAACATATTTTAAGACACCATACTAGTATTAAAACATTTACTACAGAACTCTTGTACTTCACTGTGTATTTTGTGAATTTTACAAAGCAAGCTAAACTGTCTTATGTACATCTTTGAAGGCATTTGTGCTATTTTCTTCTTTCAGTAACGGGTTTGATTATTGTCAGAGTTAGGTTATAATATGATGTTGTGTCTCTTACAACATGACGGTGGAAAATTCTAAAAAGAACAATAAGTTATGGACTGAACAGTAAAATATAAACCACTCTGGCCATTCTTTTGCCCTTCATCATATACGGGACAGATGGACATTATATTTGTTTGTATGTGCAGCTCTTGTGTGTCTGTTTATTTAGCATACCTGGATTTTAACCGCTATGACCACAGAGATGAGCTCTTTATCAAGTTCTCTCATCACAACCAGCTTCTTCAGAGTCAAACTGCACAATCTGAGGAGAGAGAGAGAGAGAGAGAGAGAGAGAGAGAGAGAGAGAGAGAGAGAGAGAGAGAGAGAGAGAGAGAGAGAGAAATAATGTTTGATTTAACACCACAGGTGTGTTTTTAATATGCACAAACAGATGAGTCATTCCCACACACAAAAACAGACTGTGTATTCATGAAACAGTCACAAGTAAACAGTTTACAACTAAAAAAAACACATGCGGTATGTCAGGAAACACAGCATCAGTCAGTCAACAGGTTCAATGACTCTGTGCAAGTGTGATAATTTCACTTGTACACTTTCACAGTTTACAGTAGGTGTTAATTTGATGCAGACATAAATGTGTGAGGTCAGTTTTACCAAAGCCGACCAATACATTGGCACAGCCGATATTATTGGCAGCTTATCACAGATTTATGTGAATATGAAGGCTGATGATGAAGTATTAGGAAATGGCAACTCTTTTTAAAACATATTTTTGGGGGCTTTTATTGCCTATAATTGATAGTGATAGCTGAAGAGTGACAGGAAATGTGGGAGAGTTGAACCCATGGACCCTAAAGCAAGGACCCCAGCTACGGCAAATCTTAGCTGTAAAACGTTGGTTGTAAAATCCTTACCCAAACAGAGATACTTCCTGTAAAACCACAGCTTGTTGTTTTTAGATCTAAAGTAATAAATTCAATTTAACGCTAAAGTTGAACCAGTAGGTAGATTTAATTACATTTGAGAAAGAGCCAGATGATGTGTTTCCGGTCTTTACATGCTAAATGATCATGTCCTGGCTATATACTTATTTTCCAGGTGGTTCTAAACCCTCTGTGTCTGCTTGTTATATGCCAAAAATATCAACATAAAAATTCCACTTTTTTAACTCCTGTAAAACATTTTGGACATTTTTAATGCATTTTATTCCTCATTTGTAACACAGATTTTTTAAACCTGCATTATTCAGTAGCAAGCTTTCTTCTTTTTCTTCTTCTTCTTCTTCTTCTTCTTTGCTACCTTTGCTTTGTGCATTGCTGTGTGTATTACCACCACCTGTAGATCAGTGGAATAGTGTGAAACTATCAGCGGGAACAACATCACTTACTTTAAAATCACAAATATTAGCCAATATACCGTCAGATCTTTAAACCTCAAAAATCCAGTATTGCTCGGGCTCTTATTTTTACCAGATTGTAATCAAACACCTGACCTGTCGGTTCTAAAAAAAACACCTTTTCTCATCAGTGAAACCCAAAAAAGTGATCACCAGAGCGATGGAGGAAGAACTGGCTGAAGATCACAGAAACCTTTTCAAATTCCTACAGCAGGCTGAGCTAAATCCTCTTTTACTTGCAGACGGGCATCTGCCAGCAGAGCAGAATAGCAGCACTGAAGCAGGATGGTGGCGGGGCAGTCGGGGTGGCATTGTTAGGGCAGTGTGTGTGTGGGAGGGTGCTTTAACAAGCATGTCACGATTTTTTGAGACACTTCCTCACAAGACGAACGTGAAAAAGAAAAGCTTTTTTTTTTCAAGGAGCTTTTCTTTTGAGGCACTCTTTGGTTCCTTTGACTGAATCATTCAGAAGAGCTGCACTGAACAGGCTGGCTGCTCACAATCTGGAGGCCTGTTTTCAGCAGCCATTTATCATCCGGCTCTCCTTTTTACTGCAAAATTAAACAGTGTTAACGGTGCTGTTGGTTAGAATGACATCACTCCCACATTATTCTGGAGCATAACAACATGGCATTGAATGTTATTCAGCAGCGCGAATGGCTATTCAACTACAGTGAAGGTTTATTGTCACACAGAGTAAAAGATGTGGCTCAAAACTGCCATGAGTGACGCAGGAGATAGAAATGTGCTCAGTGCTGAGTGGAAAAAGCCCAGGGCAACATAATTACAATATCCACTGTCATTTAGTGTAAGGACTGAGGAGTTGACCTTAGGCGTAACCTAACTCCTCTCCAACTCTCCTACTTTGAAAAACTGGAGGCAAAACTTGGACGGATAGGTGAGACACAAAACAAAAAACAGCAGCGCTAACAGTCAAGGGCTTTCAAAACCACACAGTGTGCTGAGTGACATAATGCTGTGTCTCTGCAGCAGAGAGGTATCAATCAGGCTCGAGAGAGAGAAAGGAAAACATTGGGACGGGGAGTGAAGAAGTGACGACAATGGCAGGTTTGAAGAAGCCCCAGCAGGCTGAATGAAGACCTTTCTCTTCTTCAGCTGAGACACGGCCCAAGAAATCCCAGGCACAATGGACACAAGCCAATGAAGGCTCGCATTGTCTTCGGCCTGCTCTCACACAAACAATACGCAGCATTCTTGTACTCCTGTTTTATATTCTACCCTGTTTCCATTGGTTCCAAGCCCACAGCACCATCTATTTCAGTTATGCTAGGTGGCTGGATGCTGGTTTGCGTAGGCAGAGACAACCACATGATATCTGCCACACAGAGTGCTCTGCTAAAATGTCACATTTATCTTTTCTGGTGTTTAGATTCAACGTTTTGTTTTTTTATCCCTCACAATGGGTTCATCGTGCAGTATCTGTCCAAAGGAACAGCACTGAAATGCTATTTCTAGTGAAACACCATTTAATTTGTAAGAGGATCTGTGCTGACCCATTTCTCGTGGCATAACGTTCTGACAAGCGGAGATGAGTGCGACTTAAAGTGGGGGTATTTTCTGATTTTCGTGGACACATTTGTGACATTTTCCCACCAAACGTTCACAAAAAGTCCTCTGAAACTTTCTGAACTAACACAATGGTAGAATTGTTTATGAACGCTGATTGGATGACAGTATTGTTCACCCAACTTCTATGACAAAGTGCTTGAAGATTGTAAATTGAATTTGAAATCCACTTTTCGACTTTGAAATCACCTCCACTTTACGCAGCTATTGACCAAGTCAAAGTTTAAACTTCTCTCTCAAGTTCTCTTTTTTTATTCTTCACACTTTAGACATCTTTGTGTACAAATAATAGGACACAATGAATGCCTTTAAAGTTATATTGTCCAAAAGTCAAGTCAAATTTTAAATATATAGCCCAATATTCAGGGGGCTTTACAATCTGTCCTTAGACCTTCAATTTGGGGAAGAAAAACTCTAAGTAAAAGTAATCTAGAGGTTATTTAACACTTCACTTAACACTTCAGACATATATGTGTCTCAACTGAGCATCTGTCTGCAGCGATCCCACCTTTCTCATGCCAAATACAAATAGAGGCAGACTCTATCTTATTCCAGAGGATGGAGTTATCGTATCACACCTGGAGCAGATTGATAACAGCTAAAAAACCTCCAGCAGAAGAATAACTTGTTCTAAAAACTGTTCAGCCTTATATCTAACTATCAACTACCACAAACACATAGATGGGCTACGTCATTGCCTTCATAGGCGCTTGCTTTTACTGCTCTCTACCCCACACAGATAATTCAGTGGTGAACAGGGATAATATAAACAGGAGAACTATACATTACGCCTTCTGTCTGGCTGTATCGCTGGAGTCACTCCACCGACAAGTTATTGACACAGTTACGCTTGGTAGGAGTAAAAATTACACACAGTATATGGCGTAGAGAGAACAATGCATTTAAACATCTGGCTAGAATGTGTCTCAAAAGCATCTGGAGCACGATCTGGCTCTCTTTTTCAGTTACATTTACACTTTTTGTGAGGCATGAACAGGTTTATAAAGACAACATCTAGCAGTATATAAAGCCGATTCAAACCCTGAATTAGAAAAGCTTGAAGTTTTTATGTGACGTCACACTTTCATCACAATTTTATCTCATCACCAAAGTTGGTGAAGCAGGGAGAAGTTCTCTCTGTCCCTTCCTTGATACTCAAAGAATGATATATCAGAACACAGCCAAGTGCTGAGGACACACTCACTGCCACCAGCTAAAGCCTTTGTGCACCGAGCTTCTGTCTATGTTTACAGACATGCAGAAAGGCACACAGCTGCTGTTTTGGCGCCGTAGCAAAGAAACCTGTTCCGTGTTCGGTCCCCTCGACGCATCCCCAGAGGAGCTCTGGTCTGCTGAAACACACGGTATGCCGCCTGCAGCATGGCCTTGCCAAATCCTGATCCAGTGGCCAGATCAGCACAGATGCTCTGGCAAATGGCGTAGGGAGGACCGGCAGGCCCAGTGTGGTGCTGTGATAGCAAAATCACAATCACTTCATCGGGCCAAGAACAACAAACCAACAGGAATGTGTTTTGTTGTCACTGATGCCGAGACGTATCAACACGGTGCTGAATGCAAACACACAGCAGAGGGACAACAACACCTGATGACTAATGCCAAATCATATCAGACCTTCCACATTATGTTAACACGTATAAAATTCTGCTACGCTAATCGTTCTCGTCTACAGCCCGGATAGAAATAAAAAGATAAAGAAACCCAACAGTAAGAATGAGGCCACATAATGTAATGGGAATAACTGCTGCTTTACTACTACTCAGTCCCTCCAAGACGTTGCTGCGGTGATTTGACAACTTCTTTTGTCACAAATTCACAGGGATTGGGTGAATTTGTGTTACTTCATTTACTCACATCCTGCAGTTAAGTGAAATTTTGCAGCAATACGGATGCAGGGCAACAGCAGCACTGACAGAGCAGAGGGAGACCTGGAACATTTTGCAGCTTAAATGGACCGCCAGATTGGAAGGGTGTGCTTGGTTAGTGATTATGGAGGGTGAGGCATGTCATGTGTGTATAGTAGAGCTCTAGTGTACTGCCTGAACTAGCTCGCAGGCTTCGCTCCATTTTAATCCACTAAATGCATCCAATGTTTAGAGAAATGCCACAAGTATGACTTTTACTACATCTACTGCTCCTGCTTTACTGCTACTTGTAAGAATACCATCTGCTCCAGCTGCATTTGCACAAAAAACATCTATTACAATTACTACTACAACTGCAAGCCTTTAATAATCACTATTATAGCTGCTCCTGAACCTACTATTACCACTTTTGCTAATACAGTGCTTATGTACAGT